AAGCCAGATGCTGGGGGAAAGCCTGCTAGCTCAGGCAGAGAAAGCACCCAGCTGACCTTCCTACTCAGCCGATCTCTCAGGAGGAATGCCCCCTCCCCCATATTTTAACCTTCAAACTGAATATTCTTCCCTTGTACTTCCTGTACATCTCTCTATTGGTTTTCTTCTTCTTAATAACCCTGTGTTCACTTCCTATCTACTGGTTGCTTGCTCTGCCTCTTGACCTCTGCTTGACTTTATTTAATCCTGTTGACAATATTCAAGCAGGAAGTTCTTGGATTAAAGGTGTGTGCTAAGGCCGAGCCACACCACAACTAAAGACAGGTTTTTCCAGTAAATAACACAATCTCAGGTTTCACTGTATGATCAAATATCCTGCAACACAAGGTCTCACCCCCACTCCCAGCCCCCACCTTCTGCATCATGCTTGTGGATCAACCGTAAGCTCTCAGCTCAGCGCCACTCTACTGCTCTAGCACCATGTCTGCCTACTTGGTCATGGAGTCTGCTCAACTTCTGAAACTTGTAAACAGCCCCCAATCACATACTTTGTATGATAAGTTACTTTGGTCATGGTGTCTCTTCACAGCAATAGAAAAGGAACCAAGGAGACACTCTTCAGGTATTGACCTGAAGGACTGCAGGGCAGCACACCACAGAAATACCTCCACATCAGGCTTTGTGCAGCACTATTCACAGTAGCTAATGACACCAACCTATGTGTCCAGCAACTGAGAAATGGACAAGGAACATGTGCTGTCTATATACAGTGAAACTTTTCCATCCATAAAGAACAAAGCATCCTTTGCATTACAATGGATATAGCTGGAGATAATTATTAAGTGACTTAAACACATAAAAGCATGCTTCTGTATATGGCATGAAGTAGAAGCAAAGCTATCTAGGCAACAAAGACCAACAGGGAAGTGAGACTTGTAGGATGGGAATACAGTCAGAGCATACTTATGAAACTATCCTATGAAACCCAGTACCAGGTACAATGAAAAAAAGTGGAGCAGAACGATAAAAAGAAAACACTGAATTTTTAATTTTTTTCTCAGGAAAAAAACCTACAGTTGATAAACAGCACAGTACCAAGGCTCCAGCCTGGGCTACGTAGGAAAACCCACACTAAAAACATCCCACAAAATTAGAATTAAACCATTACAAATTATATTTTCCATTGTTTCCTATATAAGGATGTATATAATAATTTTCTCAACTTAGTATAGATAAAAGTTTATTTAAAATTTGTAATTTATTTTACCAGGCAGAATCATCCTGTGAGTTCCCCTTTTGGCCTCAGGGACCCACACTACTTAAAGTGTTCACTGCCTCAGTGCTCTTCCTCCTAACAGGCCCCTACATTTTTCTTTTATTCATTGATGGTCCCTTTTTTGTGTCTTTTATTTTTTGTTTTTGTGGTGTTCAAGAGTGAACCCAAGGCATTGAGCATGCTGAGCTGCACCCCAGCCCATGCTTTTTATATCTTGTTTCGGTTTAATTAAACACACAAACATTTAAGGGGAGAATTAAATAATACACACAGTAGTTTGGATGAACTTTACTACTCTGAAGTTACTCACTTTTAAAAACATATTAGGCAATTCAGGCTAGGTATGGTGTACATCTTGAATTCCAACACTCTGGAGGCAGAGGCAGGTGGATGGACCTCTGTGAGTTCAAAGCTAGCCTGGTCTATGTAGCAAGTTCCAGGCTAACCAAGGCCACATAGTTAGAGCCTGTCTTTTTGTTTGTTTTTAAGCAATTTATATGCCATTTCATGAAATATAAATTTGGAGAGGGGGCAAAATGTTGTAGCAGGTAAGGGGTAAAGCATGCGCTTGCTGCTCCAGGCTGACAGCCAGTTCTTGGATGGAGCCCTTGTAAAGGTAGGAGAAAACCGATTCCACAGGATTGTCCTCTGAACATCACACATGTTATGCACACACATTTTACACAAGAGAGCCATGTTCAAAAATTAAAACCCAAATACTTGTTTCCCACTTAAATATGATGCTAACTGGACAACCATGTAGAAATGTGATCGGGCACACAGGGCTGGGCCCCAGTGGCACAGACTACAGGCAAGCCAGCAAAGCCTACTTGTAGTTTCTGCCTTTTCTGAGTAGTACATCTTCCCCTTGTGTATGAGTCAGGACCACTCTAGAAGAAGGGTCTTCAGAAAAGAAAGTGAGCTTTCTAGAATGGATGCCTTGTTTTGAGAAAAGGTGATTTTTAGTTTCTATGCCCTGCCTTAAGAGAAGTTATGATATCTTATAACTTCAGAAGAGAAAGAAAGGCAGCCGGCCAGGGAGACTTTGCTTTTGAGGCTGCTTCTAAGGCCTTCCAATCTATTAGTTCAAAGTACTCGACATGTCAAGGTGCTGTATGAGGGGGTTATCAGTTTCCAAAAGCACATTCAGAGAAAAAGCCCCTGGCTGAGAGCAGCTGAGAGTCTCCTAGAGAAAACCAACACAAGTCAAGGAATATTCTGTTCTTGCAAGGTTGAAGAAAGTTAACAAAGTTATGAAAGAACATAGGAAGGACTCCAAGACCGTAAGAACCACAGAAGTGTCCCCAAAGAGGTGTTTTAGTCCAAGGCTGAAACATTGGAGGGAGTAGTAGTTAGGCAAGATTGCTGTCTGGGAAGCCACAGGATTCAGGAGGAGGCAACTCCAAGGAGCTGGGCTTGGTAAGCCATAAATGAGATTGATGTGTGGAGAAGAGGCAGTCTTTGTCTTTGTGAGGGAGATTTAAGGAGACCCAAGCCTTTAAAGACTTGTAGAGTCCAGAATTTGTACCAACATTTGGGAGCTCTTGAAAGGCTTTAAACTGAGATCAGACGGAATCAAATTTACAGTTTTGGGAATCTCGTTTGCATTTAAAACTCTATCTCTAGTGACTATGTAGAATAGAGGCCAAGCTCATGTTTGAACACTTGGTCTCCCTTTGGTACTGGGTTAAATAATCATGGAGCCTTTGGAATTTGAGGAATGGCTGGGAGAGGTAGCCTGTTCAGGGTAGTGAGCCTCTCACTGTGTCGCCTAACCCTACCTCCAATCTAGAGCTCTCTGCTTCCTAACCTGACAAGATGTCACAAGCCACAAGTGCAGCTCCCCAGGCCAGAAAACAGCAGCAGGCCGTTTGTACAAGGTGGCTGTATTATGTCACCAAGCTGGTCTTTGAACGCATTGCTCTCCTGTTAGGATTATAGGTATACCTCCATACCAGCAATAGCTTCCCATTCTAAGGTCCCAGTGACTTCCCCACTTTGGGTCATGTACCCGTAAAACTGTGGCTGTAATTACAATTGACAACCAGAGTGTGCATCAGCTATGATACCAAAATGAAAATGGAGAAAAGAGACAAATAGCCACACAGCTTAAGGACCAGTGCTTGCGTATTTTTAATAAGGTTGGAGCCAATGGCAATGGTTATTACTGTCACAATTTAATGGGACTAGATTTCTCTCCTCATTACGACTTACAGGAACCAGGTAACTCTAATTCCCAAGCAGTTCTGCTATCCATGAGCAACTCGGAAGCTTTATGGGTAATCCTTTGCTCACTTCCTCCATCATTTGGTTAGCAACACTAGCCTGTCACTCACTAGATGTCACTAAGTGACTGACTCTGAGCACAGAAAATCTGTAACTCCTAACAATGTAACTTCATTTATTATAAAAATGATAATTTTCCATATACATTGAAAAGTACACAAAATGTAACAGCTTTTAATTTTTTTCCTTTTATTTTTCTTCTTAAGAGTACGTCCTCCACAAGATATAGCCAGTTGGGTACAAAGATGGAATCTTGGATCTCTTTTTTTTTTTTAAGATATTTATTTTTATTAATTAGTTTATTTACTTTGTATCCCACCTGGAGCTCCTTCTCTCTTCCCCTCTCAATCCTACCCTCCACCCCCCATCTACTGACAAGGGAGGTTCTCTTCCCTTTCCATCTGATCCTGTCTATCAGGTCTCATCAGGAATGGCTGCATTGTCTTCCTCTGTAGCCAGGTAAGCCTGCACCCCCCTCAGGCGAGGTGATCAGAGAGCCAGACACTGAGTTCATGTCAGAGACAGCCCCTGTTCCTATTGTTGGGAAATATTCTTGGACACTGAGCTGCTATGGGCTACATCTGTGCAGGGGTTCTAGGTTATCTCCATGAATGGTTCTTGGTTGGAGTATCAGTCTCAGAAAACAGCTGTGTCCAGATTTTTGGGTTCTGTTGCTCTCCTTGTGGAGCTCCTGTCCTCTCCAGGTCTTACTCTCTCCCCCTTCTTTCATAAGATTCCCTGCACTCTGCCCAAAGTTTGGCTATGAGTCTCAGCATCTGCTTTGTTACTCTGCAGGGTAGAGTCTTTCAGAGGCCTCTGTGGTAGGCTCCTGTCTTGTTCCCTGTTTTCTGCCTCTTCTGATGTTGAATCTCTTTTTTAGCTATATGGAATTTCATTACCTGAACAACCATAGTTTAGTTGACTGGTCACTTGTCACTTGGGATTCTTTCCAAACTTTTGCTACAATAATTACTGCTACATTGAACCCCCTTGTACACCTGCTGTTTCATTCACAAATAAGAACAGCTGTAGACTGAATACTTTATATATTATATATAATAATCCTGTCAGTCATGTGCACTATAAATATATCGCTTTTTTTTTTTTTTTTTTTTTTTTTTTTTTGTCACACAGAAGTATTCAATTAAATGCAGCCTTTTTTAGGGGGCGAGAGGCAAAGTCCCTGTGTTCCACTCCAGCTGCTTGGAACTCTTGATCATCCTCCCCCAGTGCTGGAATCATAGGTTGTGACACTGCACTCAACTAGCCAAGATACTATCTTTTTCCCCAGTTGGTACAAATTTGCAGATATAAGAGCTTCAGCATTCCCATAGCCAACTAAGTAGTGTGGCCAAGCTTGCAATCTACTACCTCCAACTTAGAAAATCAGTTACCTTTCCTTGACCCTGCTGTTTGTTGGGGGGGGGGGGGGGGGCTGGTATTGAGCTCTTCAGATGGTATTCACACAGGCAATGCCTGGCCAGCTGGCTAGTTTCCAGCTGAGTTAAGTAACATGATTGATTTGGTAGATCTTTTCCAGTTCTAAGTGGTTAAAATGTTATTCCAACTCAAGGTCTCTGTGGGTGAAAGGCTTTTAAACTTTTGAAATGTTTACATGTGCTCAAGCATGTGTTTAAGCATGTGTTTATGCTTAGCCGGTTTTGTGGGGTATTTTAAGCTGTTACTGTGATCTGTGATAATCATCTTATGAGTAAGAGATTTATTTTGAGCTGTTTCTGAGTAGAAAGATTTATTTGGGTTCATAGCTCCAGGGTTTTCAGTCTGTATTTAACAGGCTTCCTGCTGTGGTCTGTAGTGTAGCAGAACATCATGGGAAGGAAAGGGGAAGAAGACAAGGCTGCTGGGCTCCTGGTGACCAGGAAAGGGGTGGGGACTGGGGTCCCAGTGATTAACTTCCATCAGGATATTCTTCCTAAAGGTTCTGCCACTTCTCAGTAGTGTAACAAACTGGTAGACCATTTTTTTTCTGACCTGTTTAATAATTTCTTTTTAATACAATTTATTTTGATCTTGATTTTTCCCCTCCCCAGCTCCTCCCAGATCCATCTCCCTTCACACCCAACTTTGTTCTCACTCTCTCAAAACAAGGCCCATAAAGACACACAAAAATCAAACAAGCAAAAGACCAATAAAATACCAAACCAAAACAAAAAGTTCAGAAACAAACAAACAAATCCAAAAACATGGGGTTATTCTGTGTTAACCAACTACTTCTGGGCACCAGGCCTGTCCTGGGGTGTGGTTAATCTATGTAGTGAAACTCCATTGGAGAAAATTGATTTTCCAGTTACCAGCTTCTCGTTTGGCAAATAGCTTCTTGGTTCAGGGTGAAGCTTTGTGTTCAATTCTCCACCGTGCTGGGATTTTTTTTGTCAGGTCTTAAGTATGCTATCATAGTCTGTATGACTTCTTATGTGCTTCAGTCGTGTTGTGTCTGACTCACGCTTTCTTTGAAGTCCTCCATCACCTCTGGCTCTTCCAATCTTCTGCCTCCTCTTCCCCACAGCTCCCCGAGCCTTGAGGAGAGGGGTTTGATGAAAGCATGCCATTTAGAACCGAGTGCTCTGAAGTCTCTCACTCTGCACCTTGTCTAATTGCGGGTCTCTGTTAATTCCCACCTGCTGCAACAAGCTGCTTTTGTGATGTGGACTGATTCTTGGGGGACATATTAAATCAAGCCTTAACAAGCAGTTTGGTATATAGGATGAAAACAAATCCCATGGAGCTGGGGAGATGGTTTTCAGTGATTCAAAGCATTTACTTTCCTTTCAGAAAATCAGGCTTTAGTTCCCAGCACCCAAATAGGGTGGCTCGTAGCCATCTATAACTCCAACTCTAGGGGTTCCAGACACCTTTGGCCTCCTTGGACGCCTGCACTTTGCTGCACTTATCCATTCACATAGTTAAAAAGGACAAAAATAATTTTTTTAAAGCACACAATTCCTGATACCATGAATTTTGGAGAGCCTGTCACCTATTCCTTCAGTCTACAGTGCTGATGGTAATAGCAGGAGTGCTGGCTACAGGCTTGGCTTGGTTGGTATTGGTGAACACAGGAAAAACTCATGCAACGGTAGTCAGCATCAGGGACCAATTCTTGCCCTCTCTCCTGCAGACTGAAACATGACATAAAGGGAAAATTGACGGGACAGAGGAAGGGAAAGAAATTTCTCATCCAGGAGTCTAGTTGAACCATCAGAGAGAATCATGGATTCCAGGACAGTTAAGAAAATTTGTTATGAAGGTTGCCTACAAAGACAGAATATTCCTTTTATAAAGAGAACATTTTAAGTTAAGCATGTTCCTAACTCAAAGGGACAGTAAGTTTGCCCTTCAGGAAGATTCGAGCAGCCTTCCCATTACAGAGCAGCTTTTAAATGGAGGTAGCTGAAGACATGTAATTATTTAAAACACTTAAGAGTGTCCACAGAACCTAACTAGGCCATAGGCCCAAGTGTTGCTGTTTAAACACATTTCCCCTATTACTCCCTTAAAGGCTTAGAAAAAGTACCTGCCCATGTCAGCAAAGGTGTGCTTTAAAACTTCCCTGTACACTATCTTTGGTGATTTGATCCATTTTTTTAAAGTGTGATTTGTCATCTTTTTAGGGTGCAGGCATGAGGCTTACCTCTCCCCCACTTTCCTCAGGTGAGGGAATCCCCCTCAACTAAGGCTACAACAGCCATTAAAGCTGAAAAAGAGTTTCAGGACTAGCCAGTTTATGAAGCATGTAACCCTAGCTGGCCTGGAACTCACTCTAAACCAGGCTGGCCTCAAACTTACACTGTCTTCCAAGTGCTAGGATTAAAGGTGTTTGCTACCATGCCTGACTTCTATTATTTATTATCCATTAATGTGTTGGTGTGTTTGCATACATGTACATTTGTGAGTATGACTTTGCCATAATGCACATGTGGAGGTTAGAGGACAACTTGTAAGAGTGGGCCCCAGGGATTAAATTTAGGTCAGGAGGCTTGGCAACAGGTGCCTTTTCCACTGACTCATCACACCTGCAACTTGCTGTGTAGCTGAAGATGACCTTAAAACTTCTGATTTTCCTGCCTCTATATTTGCGGAGGGTTTTATTTTGTTTTATTTATTATTTATGCAGTATTCGGCCTGCATGCCAGAAGAGGACACCAGATCTCATTATAGATTGTTGTGAACCACCATGTGGTTGCTGGGAATTGAACTCTGGACCTTTGGAAGAACAGCAAGTGCTCTTAATCTCTGAGCCATCTCTCCAGCCTCTCGTGGATTGTTTTGATGATCATTAGCAATGATAATGGTCTAAAGAAACCCTGACTTAAAAAAAAAATATTTTCCTGTAGTCATTCCTCAGCAAGTCAGCACTGTAAGGATCAAATTAGCAGTCTGGGGGTTGCACTGCGTTAGAGTAGTTTATTTCAAAAACTGCTTCAGTTAATCTCACAACAATCTGTCAGAGCTACTATGTGTTAGGATTAAGGCAGAATCTCTAATAATTTCTGAAATGCCCATAAACTTAATAATGCTATTTTGTACAAGGTATTTGTGAATAAGTGTTCTCAACATTGCTTATTATAAAATTAAAAACTGAGAAACATTTTATATTCTTTAGTATCGAATATTTATTCGACTCCACGAACATCCATCTCATTAATATGCAAATTTTCTTTAACAGTTAAGACTACATACACACAGCAAAATACTTTTAAATAAATATGAGTATCAGTAAATATCTGTCTTGTATACTTACGTTATACTTACATACCGAGAGTTGTGTAAAATCTCCTTGCCAAGAAGTAATTAAAAAGTTTAAAAGTTTAAGTCCCTAATTAGGGAAAGGGCTTGGTACTGTAGGAATTAAATGAAAGCAAGAAAATTCGGGAGAATGTAGCTCAATTGGCTGAGTGCCTTTCTAAACAAAAACATGCTCAAGGCTCTGAGTTTACCTTATAAAACTTGGGGTGGTAGTTTATTCCAGCACGTTGGGAGGTGGAGGCAGTAGGTTGAGAAGTTCAAGGTCATCTGTCACTTCACCGTTTGGGGCACGCCTGTATTACAGGATGTCCTGCCTCTAAAATAAATAAGTAAACAAACAAATAGATAAATGGCGTGCCCCCCCCCCCCCCCATCTTTTTCTTTCTCTGTAAGGACCTACAAAACCTCTCTGGAGTTTCAAGTCAGACGAGAGATTAGTTAGAACTGAGGCTGCGTTGGTCAACTGCAGCTGGCCAACCAGCCAACTATGTCAAGGGAAGCTCCGGGATGCCCCGTGGCGCTGCGGTGGCAGCTAACCTTTCGTGGGCAGCCAGGACCGGACCTCACTGTACACAACGTCCCATGATGACTCAGTAAACAAAGCCCGCTCCTCCGGGCTGATCTCCCCCACTCCCCGAGCGATGCCCGCACTGGGAACCTTACGCAGCTCCGAAACCGGGCAGCCCTTCCGAAGGCGACCTTTGCTCACACCTAGGATCCCCGCAGCATCAGTGCCAGGGGCGGGCGAGCGCGGGGCAGGCGCCAGCCAATCGCCGAGCGCGGGAGGCGAGCGCCGCCGCGCCCCACCCGGGCGGAGGGCAGGCTCTGGCGCCCACCCTTCCCTCCCTGGTCCCCCCCCCCCCGGCGGAACGGCGCAAGCGCGGGTGGGCGGGACGCGGGGGACCACGTCCAGCGGCGTAGACAAAGGCGGGCGTGCGCACGCTCTGACGTAGGCCCGGCCGGCGGCGGGCAGGGCAGGGCGGGAGCGGTCGCCGCCGAGGACTGGAGCCGAGCCTCACGGCCGGTGAGTTGGAGGGGCCCGTCCGGGCCGGGCGCGGGGTCGGGAGCCGGGTCCGGCCGGGGGGCCGCCGCCGCCGCGGGCGCTCCGAGCCCCCGCCCGCCCCGCTCTCCCCACCCGGCCCCGCTGTCCCGCCGTCTCCCCACCCGGTCCTCCTCCCGTCGCCGCTCTCCCGCCGCCTCGCTCGGCTGCTCAGCCGGCCCTCCTCCCAGCCGCCCCGCTCCTCTCGCCTCCTCTCGGCCGGCTCTCCTCGCCGTCAGCGGCCACGCTCCCTTGGCAGGCCGCTCGCCGCCTCGGCCTGGCGAGGCCCTGAGCCGAGGAGCGTGGCCGAGGACCGGGCGTTAGGTCACGTGGGGGCGCCTTCACCTGTGCGTCCCCCTGGCATGCACCCCTGCTCCCCGGCCCTGCTCACACTTTTCTTGTTCGGGTCTGTCTCCGCCCTCTCCGCTCTCGCCCTCTCCGCGCTGCAGACACCACCCCTTGGGGTCCAGGTTTGCCTCGTCCTAGGGCAGTCCTGCTTCGTCCTGCTGCACTTCCCTGAGCTTCACACCCCAGTCAGTTGCCACTACTTTCGCCGCCGTGGTTCCACGCCCTCGGTGGCAGCATCCTACCTGAAAGTTTTACTTAATTTATTCACTTTCCATCTTACTTGCATGTAATATTGATGTCCCAGAAGTTAAAGTCTGTGTGAAATTGTCGGGCTTCATGGGTGTAAATTCTATCCCATCCACTCTTCATGTTTATTATTAACAGATAGCCTAGAAAGCGGTTGAAGAACTTTGATTTGAGTTCGTTTTTCCCTAAATCTAGCCGAACTTTAAGAAACTTCGCTGAATAGGAGCATTTCTTCAAGATTGAATTGCAACCCCGTAAAAATGGGCATGAGAATCACTTACACTGAAATCAAAGACTGTATGGACAAAACTCTGTAATCCTGCCTGCTGGATGTTCTTTTCTCTTTGTGAGAGTAACTTTTTAGATCTATCTTTTGGAAATTTTCAAATATACAAAAATAGTATTTCTAGCTAGCATATGCCCGTTATTTAGTCTCAATAACATCCATGGTTAATCTTGCGTCATCTACACCTCCATTTATTTTATTTTTTTTCCATTTCAGGAAGAAACAAAAAAATTACCTCTCTGTGTCTGGGTGTGTAGGGGGGTTGGGGGGGGGGAGTTTACCAATGAATTATATGTATCTACAGCCCGGAGAAGCTTTTGATAGACAATGAGCCTTTACATGTCAAAAAGTAGCTTAAGTTTCAAAATAGATTTGAGCATTGCGTAAAATCGTAATATATCTTTGTTGGAAGATACCCTTGTTATGATATGTAATGGTGTGACAAGGGGCTACTATGGCGGGGCCCGCTCGAAGGTATGCCCCTGAGGAATCACGCCACGAAACTGATCTGGTATAAAGTTTATTGGGGGATGGGAAGGGAGGGCCTGGGGCAGGGCCAGGGCCTGCAAGCGACCCACGAGGGCAGAGGAAGAAAGAGGGGTCACTTAGGATAGAGAGAGCTGGGGCTTGGCTCCTGCACACACCGGCTGCATGAAAGCGATTGCTGGGTCGCTGAGGGCAGGCCTGTAGAATCGCCTGCAGGGAAACAACCCCGCTATTAAAAGTTCTTTGAGCTGAGGGGATGGCCCTGTTGGCCAAGTGCTGCACAGACATGAGGACCCGAGTTCAGATTCCCAGCATCCATGAATAATAGCCAGTTGTGGCACTCATGTACTGCTGGGAGGCAGAGACAAGAGGATTCTGGGAGCCATTTGGTAAGATCCTGGTTTAGTGATAGACCATGTCTCAATAAGATAGAAGGAATAGAAAGATGGCTCATTAGTTTTGAGAGCCTGAAACTCTTGCAGAGGACCTGGATTTGACTCCTGGCACCACATGGTGGTTTACAGTTATCTATAACTCCAGCTCCAGGTGATCCTATAGCCCTACATGAACATGGCCACACAAACACATACAGTTACACAGTGGGAAAAAAAAAAAAAAAAAACAGCTGGAGAAGGCAGCTTGGAGCTTAAGAGCATAGGCTGCTCTTCCAGGACCTAGGTGTGATTCCCAGCATTCACGGAGTGCCGCACAATTGTCCATAGCTCCAATCCCAGGTCACCTGGCACCCTTTTCTAGCCTCAGACACCAGGTATGCACAGACACAGGTATACATATACATACACGAAGGCAAAACATAAAACAATTTTTAAAAAAATGTTACAGTGGAAAGTGATTAAGGACAAGACCTCACTTCTGGTGAGAACTTCCAGATTGTTTTGTCCAGTAACTTTATTATTTTTTTTTAATGAATTTTCATGTTTAGAGGGGTTCATTGACTTGTCCAGATACATAGTTCTAAGAGCCCAGTATTGAGTCTAGGAAGAACATCCTATTTTCCCAACTCTGCATTAGATTTTTTTCTTTTCTGCCACAGTGAAGTGCCACTTTCAGGTTGCCCTGAAAACTTTATAATCATGAAAGGTGTAGATGAGTTAACATAAATTTTCCCAATAAAATCCAGAATAGTACAATGAAAATATGCTTTAATTTACTTTAAAAAAAATGAATATGGCACAAAGTACAAGTTTTGATTATAGCTTTTATTAGACTTTGGAAAATAGTGTCTTAAAAATGATTGGCAATAAGATATAAGAGATTTAAATAACATTCACTGCTTGGTAATAAAGTCACTAAAGGGATTATACTAGGGATGCAGCTCAAGTGGTAGAGCACTCGGTATGCTTGAGTCCCTGGATTTGATCTCCAGCATTGCAGGGAAAACTTGTTAATGGAAATTAGACTGATTAGAAGTACACTCTTGGTGGTTTTTTTTTTTTTTCTTTCCTTTTTTTTGGGGGGTTGGGATGGGGGATGGCTTCCTTTGTAGTCTATGCTGGCTCCTTGCTGTAACCTCCCTAGTGCTGGGTTGTTTTACTCTTGATGGCTGAGAGAACAATAGTATCCTCCCATAAGTCCTTTCATGTCATTAACAGATAAAAATCTGGGCTGAATGGGTTAGGTTTTGTTTTAATGAAACATAGTGTGGACTTCCTAGCAAACTATATGCTATTAAATTTCTTATAAGAAAGACCAGTAAATACTGTTCTGAAAAGTGCATAGTTAGGAAGTTTGTTATTGGAACAGGATAGAGTACAGTCACAACAAAATAAGATGGCTACAGTGTATCAGTAGTAAAGTCTTGGGACCACTGTCCGGTTGGTGGTTTGTGACTGACCAAAATGCCCTTATACAGTGCTGTAGCAGTTAATTTTATTTTCCAAAACAGTGTTGCAGCTAGGAAATTGTCAATGTTACAAGGCAACCAACAGAGTCCCAAGGCACAATTAAAGGGATTTATTCACATGTGTTGAGTTCTTTGGTTAATTTCCTGTGGTTGTGGTTAGCTTGCTTGTTTTTCATGAAGGAACAGGGGGGGTGTATGCATGCAGAGGATAACTATTACCAAGATTTCTTGCATGAGATGCCTGTCTTTAAAACACAGGATGCTTTAAATGGGACAGCTTCATTAAGTGAATCTGTATGTTGGTTCATGGCCAGAGAGTTTTTACAAGAGGACTAAGAATTTATTAGTGAGATTCTCCAAGCAAGTTAAATTGGAAAGTCAAATGAAAAGTAATGTAACTGTGATAATAGAGTCACATTCCATCCATAGACAACATGTGGCAAAACTTATTATTGAGTATTGGTTATAGTTGATGCTTCCACTAGATACCTCTACTTCTCTTTCATCTTCCATCCTGTGTGATGGCTAATCTTAATTATTAACTTGATTGCACTGAGAAACACTTACAAGACTAGCAAAGCACACCTGGAGGTATCTGATGAGTTAGTGAACAGATTAGTCCCTTGGTAGATTAATATGGCATTACTGAACAGCGGTGAAAGGTGAGAAATAAGTCACAGGGACCATGCCCTTCAGAATGTCTTCTTTGTGTATCCCATCTCTGCTGCCTGTCTGCCATAAAGTGAACAGCCAATTCCATCACACACCCTGCTGCCTCCCAAGTGCTAGGATTAAAGGTGTTTGCCACCACACCTCACTTCCCAGCTAACTTAATTTGTGTTAGGTTAACAAAAACTAACCAGCACAGTGGACCCCTTGTCAACTTGACAAACATGTTAAACCATAATCTTTCTTTTCTTGTTCATCTCAAGGCCTCATGTTACCATCACAGTATAAAACATAACTGTAGAAGTCCGACAGTCTTTAAAATGTTCTGAGGATCTCTATTACATTGGTTCTCAACTTTCCTAACGCTGAGACCCTTTAATACAGTTCCTCATTGCTATGGTGTTCACAACCATAAAAGTATTTTTGTTGCTACTTCACACCTAAGTGTGCTACTATTATGAATCTTACTGTGAACATCTGTGTTTTCCCATGGTTTTAGGCAACCTCTGTATAAAAGGGTCAACCGACCCTGAGGACAACCCTGTCATTTAGTCCTGGAACTTGCTCTGTAGACCAGACTGGACTAAAACTCAGAGATCCACCTGCCTCCCGGCTGCTGGGATTTAAAGGCATGTGCCACCATGCTTGGCAAGATTTTCAATACTTTAAAAAGTCTAGAGTTTCTTTAAAAATCCATATTCTCTGAACACTGTGCTCCTGTAAAATAAAAACAACACACATACTTTCTTGTTTCAAAAGGAAAGATCCAGGGCACAGTCAAAATCAGATGAAAGCAAAATCTATGATTTAGCTATGCAAATAGCTCAATGTTCCATAACCAGGAACTCACTCAATGATCTTCTGGGCTTGTCCCATTTTCCCATTTCTAATGATAGAGAAAAATGCATTTTCTTTTATTAGTTGGAAATATATTATTTTCAGAGTTTCCCTTTAAAAGTTTTATATTGGTACTGTTTACTAAAAATGTAAGCATATGTACAATTTTAATGTTTATGGTAGCTGCTTTGAAAAAAATGTAAAAGTGATATGCTAGTTAGTTTCCTTGAGAGTCCACAGTGTGTACTA